AACTTTGAATGACCCTAAAAACAATAAAGCTTGTATCTTCACTAAAGGTTCAGACGCACAATTATAAGTTAAAGTAAACCACTTCAGGAGCCCTAGAGGCACAAATTGCTGAGGCCCAGCATTATAACACTGCATAATTACAGGAGCCGCTGGAGATGACGTCTGCTGTCTCAGTAGCAACAATAGAGGAAGCCCATTTTAGCTTATGTTAGCCTTTAGCACATAGTACAACTTTTGCACCTGCAGCATCAGCTGCCTGCCTGACAGACAACTGGTTCATATCATGCACCTTAATAAATGTGATACTCGCTTGTGCATTTTGCTGAGGAATAGCATTTTAAATGAATTAAATAATTTGGTCATGCTCATTTTCAGTACAATCAAGACTTTATAGGTGTTCCTGTGGCCTAACAGCGATGTGTAATTTAGCCATCCAAATTTAAAGCTAAACTGCTGCATTACACAACACAATCACAGCCAATCAAAACATCTACAGAACAAGGCAGCACTGTATTAATATTCATCAAACATAATTCCTCCGCAATTAATCCAGCATGAACCACACATGATTGACTTAAATCAAGCTTTGTTTTGAAGATCATTTTTATTATTTTATTATGACCTTTATTTTACCAGGAAAAGAAGCACATTGAGATTAAGAATCTCTTTTACAAGAGCGTCCTGGCCAAGACTGACAGACACAGCTCGTTTGAGTCTGTTTAACAGATAACATCCATCAATACATACACACACAAGCAAATCAAATCAAATTTCAATATCAATAAATAACTAGTTAAAACATCTACAGCCCGATGTTTCTTTCTCCAAATTATTTAAAACTACTTTGAAAATGTCCATTGAAACCATCTCCCTAAGATTCAACGTACTTTGCAAATTATTCCAGGCAGAGGGAGCAGCAAATTTAAATGCCTGTTTCCCCAATTCAGTATGTACCACTGGAACAGACAGTAAGAATAATTCCTGGGACAGTAGGCTTTAGCTAAACAGTGCACCATGATAAACAGTGTCTAAAGCATGTAAACACTGTGAAGATGCATGGATAACATCACCATAGTCCAGTACAGACATAAAAGTGGCTGCAACAAGCCTCTTTTTTGCCTCAAAGGAAAGACAGGATTTGATTATAAAGTAAAAACCCAATTTCACTTTTAATCTTTTCACCAGTTGCTGAACATGAGGGCCAAAGGAGAGAGCGTCATCAATTAAAATCCCAAGATACCTATAGTGACACACAAACTCAATCTCCGAACCTTGGGACGTAGTAATAGGCAGAAGATTATGAGGGATTTATTTTGATTTAGAAAACAACATGAATTTTGTTTTAGCAGCATTTAAAACTAGTTTTAATTCAAATAAATTACGCTGAACAATATTAAATGCAAGCTGTAACTGAGAGAGAGCCAGATTGGGTGTGGATGCTGAACTATATAAATCTGTATCATCAGCGTAATAATGAAAATGTACATTATGAACATTTTGATCAATATTATTTATATATAGAGTAAATAGGAGTGGTCCTAGGACTGACCCTGTGGCACACCTTTAGTTACATTGAGTGAACCAGAGATAAAACCTTCTGACTGTACACATTGAGTTCTGTTTGAGAGATAGTTTTTAAACCAACCAATAGTATGTTTAGATAATCCAATACTGACAAGTCGTTGTGTCAGTAAGGTATGATCAACAGTATCAAATGGTTTTGATAGATCGATGAATAAGGCTGCACAGTTTCTCTTGTTATCAAACAGATTCAATTAAGGCTGCCGTAGTTGTGCTTTGTTGTTTTTTAAAACCAGATTGTAAATCAGACAGGGTATTATTAACAGACAAAAAGTCCTTCAATTGATTGTTGACAATGTTTCGAGGACTTTGGCCAAGACTGACAGCTGGGAAATGGGCCAGTAATTATTTGGGTGTGTGAGATCTCTGCCTTTAAACAGGGGAAGAACAAAAGCTGATTTCCATATACTCTCACCTAAAGGATTATTAGGAACACCATACTACTAATACGGTGTTTGACCCCCTTTCGCCTTCAAAACTGCCTTAATTCTACATGGCATTGATTCAACAAGGTGCTGAAAGCATTCTTTAGAAATGTTGGCCCATATTGACAGGATAGCATCTTGCAGTTGATGGAGATTTGTGGGATGCACATCCAGGGCACGAAGCTCCCGTTCCACCACATCCCAAAGACGCTCTATTGGGTTGAGATCTGGTGACTGTGGGGGCCATTTTAGTACAGTGAACTCATTGTCATGTTCAAGAAACCAATTTGAAATGATTCGAGCTTTGTGACATGGTGCATTATCCTGCTGGAAGTAGCCATCAGAGGATGGGTACATGGTGGCCATAAAGGGATGGACATGGTCAGAAACAATGCTCAGGTAGGCCGTGGCATTTAAACGATGCCCAATTGGCACTAAGGGGCCTAAAGTGTGCCAAGAAAACATCCCCCACACCATTACACCACCACCACCACCAGCCTGCACAGTGGTAACAAGGCATGATGGTTCCATGTTCTCATTCTGTTTACGCCAAATTCTGACTCTACCATCTGAATATCTCAACAGAAATCGAGACTCATCAGACCAGGCAACATTTTTCCAGTCTTCAACTGTCCAATTTTGGTGAGCTCTTGCAAATTGTAGCCTCTTTTTCCTATTTGTAGTGGAGATGAGTGGTACCCGGTGGGGTCTTCTGCTGTTGTAGCCCATCCGCCTCAAGGTTGTGCGTGTTGTGACTTCACAAATGCTTTGCTGCATACCTCGGTTGTAACGAGTGGTTATTTCAGTCAAAGTTGCTCTTCTATCAGCTTGAATCAGTCGGCCCATTCTCCTCTGACCTCTAGCATCAACAAGGCATTTTCGCTCACAGGACTGCCGCCAAATGGATGTTTTTCCCTTTTCACACCATTCTTTGTAAACCCTAGAAATGGTTGTGCGTGAAAATCCCAGTAACTGAGCAGATTGTGAAATACTCAGACCGGCCCGTCTGGCACCAACAACCATGCCACGCTCAAAATTGCTTAAATCACCTTTCTTTCCCATTCTGCCATTCAGTTTGGAGTTCAGGAGATTGTCTTGACCAGGACCACACCCCTAAATGCATTGAAGCAACTGCCATGTGATTGGTTGATTAGATAATTGCATTAATGAGAAATTGAACAGGTGTTCCTAATAATCCTTTAGGTGAGTGTAAGTGGAATTTCATTTAAGACAAGAGAAAGGTTAAAAATATGAGTCAGAGGTGGGGCAAAAAAATCAGCTGCTAGCTTTAAAAAGTAAGGTTCCAAATTATCAAGACCTGCCGATTTTGAAACATCTAGATTTAAGGGCTTTGCACACCTCAGAGATTGCAATTGGTGAAAAGTTGAATGATTGACTAGACACAAAGCTCTCTGACTGACCAATCAAAGGGTTCACATGAGCACCATTAATTTAATCAAACATAAAAAACAGAAGCTATGAAGTGTTCATTGAAACAATTAAGCATTTTTACTTTATCAATGATTGTATGAGAGCCCTTATTAATACATTATGGAAGTTCTATACCTTTATTATTTTCAGTAAATGATTTAACACTTTTCCAAAATTTTGATGAATTGTTTAGATTGAAAGATGTTTGTATAAGGAAATGCTCAGCTTTAGCTTTTCTGAGTGCAACCGTGCATGCATTGCGCAATCGCATAAAATCAAGCCATTTCAGTTGTCTAAAAGTCTATATTTGTTCTATAAACTACTATTAGCATTTGGCTTACACTGATAGAATTTTAAACGGTTAGTTCACCAAAAAAATGAATATTCTGTTATTAATTACTGATCCTCATGTCGTTCCAAGCCCGTAAGTCATTTGTTCATCTTCAGAACACAAATAAAGATCTTTTTAATGAAATCGGAGAGCTTTCTGTCCCTTTATTGACACCCTACGCAACATTTTCAAGCCCTAGAAGACATCATTAAAGTAATCCAAGTGACTCTGTGTGAATTGTCCATGTTAATCCATGTCCATTTTTGGGTAAACTAACCCTTTAAGCATTCAAAGGGCCTGTTTACACCTGGTCAGTTTGTGCGTTTTCTCTGATCGGATAGCCATCCCATCGTAAAAAGACCAGGTGTAAATGCCCTCCGAAATGCTTTCAAAATGGATTTAAATTCGATCACTCAACTTCAAGAGGTGGTTTGAGACGCATTCCAGACGAAACTGGACAAGTGTAAATGCATCTGGTTTTTGAAACCACATATGATAATTTTACTCCTCCCAAAAATGCTAAAAATAAAGTGTGAGAGTGTGTTATAACATGTTATAGCAAGATATGACAGTGCTACTGCAACACGCATGGCCGCAGATGAGTAGCTGAGTATCTCTTCATCAAGCCAATGCGCAAACTGACGCAAATAAAACAAAGTAAGTCGCAGACGCTCAACACACAATCATCTATATTAAAAATAGCAGGACTAAATGATCTTACCGGTGCTGATGGTGCTCTCTCTTATCGCGGTATGATAAATAAAATGCAGCTCATATCTGTTGCTTTCACTGACGTCAATTCCGTTAAATCTGCATATAGCGCTGGAATTGAATATCGAATTTATATTCGTTTTGCGGAGAAACATTTATGTGGCCAAGTGTAAATGGAAACGTTTTAACAAATCAGATAGCTATCCGATCAGTAAAAACACATGAAGTGACCAGGTGGAACAGGCGCAAAATGTCCAACAGTGTATCACAATTCAGTATTCAAAAATTCCGACTGGAATTCAGTGTACACACATTGTCATCATATTTTGTTGCTTATTGCCAATGGGACTGGTTAGTCTGAAATCAGATTTACAGTACATGGATAGAATTTCGTTTAATATTTGTCCCTTTTTACAATGCATGTGTATCTAGGTAAGAAAAGTTTCTGGTATTCATGAAAAAAAAAACAGGTTACAAGGTGGTTTTCATAAACATCAAGGAAGGTGCAGTATCCAACTTACCAATATCAGCGTCTTTGTGATTCTTTATGGACTCTGCAAGCTCAAAATTTCCAGCAATTATTGCCACCTTTGAAAAAAACACATATATAACATATTAGATTCATTCATTCACAGGCTTTATCACAATTCTTCTATCCATTTTCCATTTTTTGGCTGAGGCTGCATAAAAGAGTCTGCAAACTTACAGTCAGACCAACTGAATTAAAAATAAGACCACAGTCACATAACACCTAGATGCAGATTATATCATTTTATCAGTTGAATGAGTCCTTGGTGAATGAAAAAACAAAGACAAAGTTTTTAAACATTTATGATGTTTTCCTTGTATATAGAGTAGTACTTGTGAGCTCTGACACATCACTGTCCTTCACTGACTACCTTTCCCAACTGTCTTGATAACTTCAGGTATGTAAAATCTTTGAAGTGACTCCCATGAGTGGAGAATTGTGATGAATGTCGATCTAGAGTGACGTAAAAGTCGCATGAACTCCGATATGACTGTTCAGCCACATTTACCCGCAGTCTGAACGTAGCCTTAGTGAACTATTCCCTGCTAAGCTTAATGTAACCTCAAAAGGGCCTTCACAGCAATGAAACAAAAAAAAACCCTGTTCAATAGCACGACTTCCCATTCAGCAGATGTTCATTTCTATTTAATGGCTTTAATTTTACCACCCTTTAAAAAGCTAGTTACGCGGTCTATTATAAGATCTATAATTTACTCATCAGTCTGGTCACCAAGTCTGGTCGTGAGAACAAAACTAGGTTTGAAATGGTGCACCAAGGCAGAGGAACACGCATTACGCTTGTGGGTTTTGGAGTACTAGATTCCTAAGAGTGATAAAACACAGACTTCATTCACATTACACTAAATTAGTTGCTAAGATTTACGTAATGAGCTTGAGAAGACCTGCATTCCTTTTCGAATGAAATACGGTGCTTGGTTGCAGCATAGAGCTAATGCTAGATGAGTTAAGAAGAAGAACACAACAGCAAGGTAAGTTAATCAACACGGTAAAGGCCTAGAATCGAAACAAATATTTGAAGAAATTTGGGTAACGCTTCCTTTTACAGTCCTGTTACCCATGTACTTACTATGTACTTATTATAGTAATTATAATTACTGGGTAATAACTAGGTACTAACCCTGAACCTACCCCTAACCCATGTACTTACCTTATATTAGCCAATACTTTCTACTGTAAGTACACGTAAGTACTGTACTGTAAAAGGAAGCGTTACCGAAATTTGTTCAACTGTTCAATACTATTCCACACAAACAGTACTGTCGTACAAATACACATTATTAAGTCAGAGCTGGAACTTTTCGGTTTGCAGTTGACCCAGTATCATTGTTCTCAGAGTAAAAGATGTGGCGGTAATACAATTTGCTCTGAACACTTTTTGATTTTGCCGGGGAGAAGTTCTGTTTAACCAGGCGGATCGGAGCCTTCCAGAGGAGAGCCTGAAGTTTCATGAGCTGCTTAAATGAGTTGTAATCGAGCGATCGCCGAGGCGTGAAATATGATTTTAGCAGCATGAGATGAATAATACAGCGCATTAAACAACGCATCAGGAGAGCTCTGATATGTACATTACATAAACACTTCACTCCTACGTCAGGTTTGGAGTGAGCAGGGTCAGTTCAAAGCTTTAGAGGTTGTCAACCGAGCAACTAGCACAATGAGGCCAGCCATGAACACTAAATGTAGCAGCAAGTGTTGCTAATGTTTGACTTAATGCGTTTGACTGTAGAGCCAACTGCAAAACTAATGATCTCAGCTCTATTTTAATGTTTTTGGAGGTTTGCCATTGGATTACTGTTGCGATATGTGCCATCTTGCTAATAAAAGCCACAGTTTTCCTTGAGGCACAAACAACAACATATATTTGAGTACTGTACAAACCAAGTATTTTTCCACTCTGGATATTGCATTGAAGGTGTTTAAACTTTAACCACAATCTAAAAAGTTGGCACAAATGCTGAATGCCACATTGTAAAAGGCTTTTGCTGGGTGAACAGGTCTGTGCACTATGAAATCAAACTATGAATAAAAACGCAATGAAAGATGCAGCGAAGAGCAAAAAGGATACGGTTATTTGTGTCAAGGAGGTTGCATTTCAAAGGGTTAAGCTTTCATTATGTGGGTGGTCTAGTACAGTATTGATGTTGGCGTGTTTGCTATTAAAAGGGTTTACTGTACATGGTATTTTGCTATCAGCATTCGCTTTGAAGCTTTAATAATTCATTATGATAGTGATATGAGGGGTGGCGATTATGGGTTAGGATTATGTCGTTTTAATAGCAACTGAACTCAAAATAATCAAAAAATGCTATTAGAGGTGGGTACTTAAAAGATTGGATCTTAAAATATTACTATTATATTATATCGCAATGTAAAATCAATCATATAAATTAAAGATCATAAGCTTTTTCCTGTATCAGTCTTGAAACACTTTTATTCGAGCTCTAAATAAACACATCATTTGTAGTTTTATTCCCCTGAAAAGTGTAAACCGTGTCTCTGAGGTGCAATCAAAACATTGCTGTTTGATTAAGGATTCCAACCAGCCTCACACGTCAACAGTGTCTCAACCAATGATCTGAGTATCATAACTCAAACAGGTATGTTGAAACTGGAAATTGAATGTTGGAACTTATTTGTCAGCAAAATCTTTCAAATTAAAATTTTAAGTTTTAAATATTTAAATTATTCAGAGAAAAGGACCCAAGGTCTATAGGACCAAGGAGTAGGACCGGAGCACAGAACGTTTTAATAAATTTATTAGTGCAAAATGACCAACGTTTCGACGCACATGCGTCTTCTTCAGAGTCAAAAAATATTTAAATTATTAATTCCGTCTCCGTTTAATCTGATTGGTCATGATTGAAGTTCTGCCTGACAACTGCGATGATTTGTAGATAATAACACAAGGCAGTAAAAAAAAAGTCTTTCTTTTTTTCTCATGCAGCAACTCTAACCGACTCATAATGAAGATTAAAAAAATATGTTAAATTTGTAGGTACTGACTGTAGATGTTAAAATACCGGTATATATACACTTTTCTTAAAGCTGCAGACCGCATTTTTCCTCTTTGTCGCCATCTCTGTTAGAAATCTGCAATTGCAGTTATTCGCGGAATTATCACGTGAGTTGTAGTTTGACACCGCACAGCGCGGATGAACACATTTAGGAGAGTGTGCAGCTGTCAATCACCGCGCTAGTGTCGATACTGGCATTCAGAATCACAGATTATTCTTTTTGGAAGTATGACTAACATAATAATTTTCAACGGAAAATGTCATCTGAACAAGTAAGTAACATCCACTTTTGTTCTGGTTCTGACATTGCAGTAAATCACGCTGATTAAATCTAAAAATCACTCATCACGCAAAACCGTGCAAATTGTACTTTGTTCTCAACTTGTTAATGTTAACAACGTCAGCATTGCGTGACTACATGTAATGTCCTTCCGATATGTATCCTTGTTTTCGCATGGGCCGGTTGCAGTCTCTTAGTCAATCCGAAGTCCGAACGAAGTCTTTTGCATTTTACAGCGGGTGAATCTCTAGTTGTCACTGGTGATTGTCGTTTGAACCTTTCTGGATCCGCCATCAAATTGATAAGTTTAATTATATCAAGTGCAGTGAGAAAAGGCTATAAATCTCCACCTCCAGCATCCTCACACTCATAGCCTACTAGCCGAGACTCCTCCTTTATGTGTACAGATGTGACGTAATGACGCAAAGACATGCTCGAATCTCGAAACATGCGGAAATCCACCAGTACCACTGGAATTAAAAACATTCTTACAAGCTTACCGTATTGAATCGAGCTAAGGCAAGCAGATAGCGTTGAACACTGGCTGGTTATGTATTTTCTCAAATATGTATTTTGGATAATTTTTAACCCAAAAAAAGCTACGGACTGCAGCTTTAATCACCCTGTAGATTTTATTCTAACGTTATTTGTATGAAAACATTTGAGTTAATAAGTTTCTGTGAGAACATCAGACAGGGTGTTTAATTTTCTGGTCAAACCATGACAAAGTCTGTGACAATATGCACTAATGACTGTTGGCGCAAAAATTACTTCAATTTTAACTATATTTCTAATAATAAGTACTAATAACTATTGGCACAAAAATTACTTCAGTTTGAACTATATTTCTAATAATAAGTACTAATAACTACTGCCACAAATATTAATTCAAACCTATATTTTCTAATAATACACACTACTGCCGCAAAATTAAATATTTCTAAGAATACGCGCTGACTACTGCCGCAGTTTAACGAAGATTTTTAAGAATAGAATTACTTCAGTTTTAACTATATTTCTAATAATAATTATTGGTGCAAAAATGGCTTCAGTTTCAAATACAATAAATAACTAATGACTAGAGGCATTGGAGTCACAGCCATTATTGAAGGCTACTGAACAGTAAACGGAACACTGTCATCAGCCCATGGCCACAGACTTGGATCATGTCCATTGCTGTCAGACAAGCTATTGAATGTCACAATCTGACATTTGAGAAAGAAACTCCTTAGGTAAACAAACACAAGAACAAGAGATTTTTACCAGGAAAATAAAAACTCCACTGGCTTATTTCAGCTAAAACATTTAAGAAAACTATACAAATCTGATTTGACATTTATTTCCCCTCTCCAAAATGTAACTCCTAATTGTTTGAAGATACCAAACAAACATAATAAAATGATTAATTACCCTCACGCTCACTCATTGTTCTCTGAGTGCTGTCTTACATAATGCCTGCGCTTTCATGTGGCATTCTGTCTAATTAATTAAGAACTCTGCCCGACAGAACAACAAATAGACCCAAGTTCATAATTTTTTCCAACACTAAACCAACAAAATATAGCAAACTTCCATGCGCAAGTTTATGTGAAAAAATAGTTTCATTCACTTATTAAAAAGTAGCCAAGTCAACACGTTCTCATACCTGAAAGGGCGTTTGTCCTCTGTAGTTCTTGACGTCTTTGCTGGCTCCACGAACCAGAAGAACCCTGGCACACTTTTCCTTCAGAAGAAAAGCAGATGATAGAGAAATTAATTCAATATGATCCAACTCTAACAGATGCTCTACTATCTGTGTTTCTTGACCTTCTAAGAGCAAAATTAGACACCTCAAGAGGTATATCCCATCTCACCCAGATCCAAAAGTGACAGACTTTTCCCTCAGCTTTGGGAAGTCCAATTCAAGTGTGATGCTACAGCAAAGTCTACACCCAAAGAGAAAGGAGAGGGGGTCTCTGCAGCAATGCCTAAGTGCATGTGTGAATGTGTATGTGAGAACCAAAAGCAGAAAGACATAGAGAGAGAGAGAGAGAGAGAGAGAGAGAGAGAGAGAGAGAGAGAGAGCGAGCGAGAGAGATCCAGGGCTCTGTAGCTCTCCAGCCCACTATATCCAGCTGGATTCAACAGCCCACCCACGGAATGCCTCACCACTAAACCGACACACACACAATCGCACACATACACACACCTCCATTGCCTTCTCCTCCTACCTTCCTTCTAATACTAGTTTCACAGCTGCTGCCAGCCCTTATGTATGAGACATAATCACATGTGAGGATGCTGCTTCTATTCCCTGCACATGAAAATATCCCTGGCCTGCATTTGGCACCGGTTACAGGTTCCTCGTTGACATGGTGACGGATCGGCGCAATAGGGTTTAATCGCAAACAATCGAGGCTCAAGAACCTGACGACCGAGACAAATGAAGCATCTTTCGCCAAAGGTTTCGCCTCGTTGCGGCCGATTGCTTTAAATAACGACCTCATTGGTCGGCTCAGGATGAACACAGAAATACATGATACATCATATGTGGCCACCAGTGAACTCAAGAGCCTCCACAAATCAATAAATGACACTTGCCATCGGCAGGGACATTTTCTCACCTTAAAATAAACTATATTTTTTAGTCATAAGACCTGGGGTGGTGCGATTTGTTTCAACTGTATTTAACAGCATATTTATTTTGATGGCAACTGAAAACGAGGCTGTGAGAGAGACGTACATTTCGTTCGATTCCGTTGTTCGTAATGTTAAAGTACATAGGTTGTGTAAAATTAGACTTCAAGACCGTACAACATATTGAATTCTATGTTTACATCTTCCTTTACAGATCTTGTATATAAAGGCCCATTCACACCAAGATCAATCATAACAAACTATAAAGATAACTATATTAGCATCCACACCAACCCACAATAATGTTCTTTTTATTATAAGCGTGCACCGCAGTTTTGTTGCCCGCCCCTTTAAATGCTCAAGCTTTTTTAAGCAGGATGAATTCTGATTGGCTGTCAATGTTTTTATCATTCATCAGCTTGAAAAAAAAAATCGTTGTGAAAGTTATTAAGTTGGCTTGTGAGAGCCAACTTACTGATGTTGTATTTAAACTTATTATTAGTGGTGCTTGCCTATGGCAAAGCAACACTAGTGTTATTGTCCATACTTATTATTCTTATTCTTATTAGTGGTGCTTGCCTATGGCGAAGCAACACTATTGTTATCTCACATACTTATTAGTGGTGCTTGCCTATGGCGAAGCAACACTATTGTTATCTCACATACTTATTATTCTTCTTCTTATTATTCTTCCGGCCACTTTTTGACGCGCTACTCCTCCCGCAGTTTTTGTCACAGACCCATGAATGAGGTGTCAAAACGTGCGGCCTGTTCGGGAATGGTGTGCTATGACTTTTCTAAGAGATCGGGGGTACGATGGTCGCCCCAGGGGCGAAAAACGGCCCAAAAAAATCCCATAGACTTAACATTGCGAAAAACTTTGACGAGTCGTAGCTCGGAACGAGGATGTCGCAGAAACGTGAAATTTGCCACATTTGAAGAGGCTGACAGACTCTGTAAGAACATACCACACAATGGGGTAAAAGTTGCACCCCTGGGGTGCAGGAGCTGCCCAAAGTTTCCCCATTGACTTACTATGGTGTAGGACGGCCCATGAAATGGGCCGTCCTACACCATAGAAACCGCTTTTATATTGAACATAACTCTGGATCACAGTGTCATAGAGACAAGGGGGCGGGCTCATTTTACTCAGACAACCAATCAGTCTCTCAGGATCATTGTGAAGCTATCAAGCCACGCCCTAGCAACCATTTAGAGCACCTTAGCAACAACTCCCATAGACTTCCATTGAAAGAGATCGAAGGGATATCTCTGGACTGAATTGTCATAGAAACATGAGGGTGGTCTCGTTTGACTCGGGCCAGCAAACAGCCAATCATGAATCACCTCAACACTTGCTAGCCACGCCCTAGCAACCATTGTCGAGCACCTTAGCAACCAAAATCCAAAGAGGAATATCGTCCATTCTGAATGTCACAGAGGCATGGGAGTTGGTTTATATCTTTCATAGTGACAAGCAGCCTTTGGAGTTTCATGATTGGCAGCTGCCAAGCCACTCCCTAGCAACCAAACAGAGTACCCTAGCAACCATTTTGCAAAACCAATATCTCTGCATCAGAACATCGTATAGAGATGGGGGTTGGTTTATACATTCACATTGACTTTGGAGCTTCATGATTGGCAGCTGCCAAGCCACTCCCTAGCAACCAAACAGAGTACCCTAGCAACCATTTTGCAAGACCTACATCTCTGCATCAGAACATCGTATAGAGATGGGGGTTGGGTCTTTTGACTCATGCTAGCAAACAGGACTTGCTACATGCTACACATGCTAGCAGTGAATAGCTACATGCTAATATTGATTAGCTAAGTGCTAAATCATGCCAATAAAATGCTACAAACTCAACAGTAACCATCTTTGACAACTACCAACCACCTAGTAACACCATAGCAACCACCCAAATTACTCTAGCAACACCCTAGCAACCACCCAGAACACCCTAGCAACTGCCTAGCAACGCCCTAGCAACCACCCAGAACACCCTAGCAACCGCCTAGCAACCACCCAGGATACCCTAGCAACCGCCTAGCAACGCCCTAGCAACAACCCAGATTACCCTAGCAACCGCCTAGCAACGCCCTAGCAACCGCCTAGCAACCACCCAAAACACCCTAGCAACTGCCTAGCAACCACCCAGAACACCCTAGCAACCGCCTAGCAACCGCCCAGGATACCCTAGCAACTGCCTAGCAACGCCCTAGCAACCACCCTCGAACACCATAGCAACGGCCTAGCAACACCCTAGCAACCACTCAGAACACCCTAGCAACCACCTAGCAACACCCTAGCAACCACTCAGAACACCCTAGCAACCACCTAGCAACACCCTAGCAACCACCCAGAACACCCTAGCAACCACCTAGCAACACCCTAGCAACCACCCAGAACACCCTAGCAACCACCTAGCAACACCCTAGCAACCACTCAGAACACCCTAGCAACCACCTAGCAACACCCTAGCAACCACCCAGAACACCCTAGCAACCGCCTAGCAACACCCTAGCAACCACCCAGAACACCCTAGCAACCGCCTAGCAACACCCTAGCAACCACCCAAAACACCCTAGCAACCACCTAGCAACAAACTAGCAACACCCTAGCAACCACCCAGAACACCCTAGAAACCGCCTAGCAACCACCCAAAACACCTTAGCAACCACCCAGAATACCCTAGCAACCGCATAGCAACACCATAGCAACCACCCAGAACACCCTAGCAACTGCCTTGCATCATCATAGCAAACTCCAAGAACACCCTAGCAACCGAGCGGCGAGTTTTGCCACTGCAAGCACCACTTCACATTTTCTTCTGGAAATGTACATTCTAGTTAGTGGTGCTTGCCTATGGCGAAGCAACACTATTGTTATCTCACATACTTATTAGTGGTGCTTGCCTATGGCGAAGCAACACTATTGTTATCTCACATACTTATTATTCTTATTCTTCTTATTCTTATTCTTATTCTTATTCTTATTCTTATTCTTCTGGCCACTTTTTGACGCGCTACTCCTCCCGCAGTTTTTGTCACAGACCCATGAATGAGGTGTCAAAACGTGCGGCCTGTTCGGGAATGGTGTGCTATGACTTTTATAAGCGATCGGGGGTACGATGTTCGCCCCAGGGGCGAAAAACCGGCCGAAAAATCCCATAGACTTAACATTGCGTCAAACTTTGACGAGTCGTAGGTCGGAACGAGGATGTCGCAGAAACCTGTAATTTACCACATTTGAAGAGGCTGACAGGCTCTGTAAGAATATACCACACAATGGGGTAAAAGTTGCACCCCTGGGGGGCAGGAGGGGCCCAAAGTTGCCCCATTGACTTACTATGGTGTAGGACGGCCCATGAAATGGGCCGTCCTACACCATAGAAACCGCTTTTATATTGAACATAACTCTGGATCCCAGTGTCGTAGAGACAAAGGGGCGGGCTCATTTTACTCAGACGACCAATCAGTCTCTCAGGATCATTGTTAAGCTTTTAAGCCACGCCCTAGCAACCATTTAGAGCACCTTAGCAACAAGTTCCATAGACTTCCATTGAAAGAGATGGAAGGGATATCTCCGGATAGAAGTGTCATAGAAACACGAGGGTGGTCTCGTTTGACTCGGGGTAGCAAACAGCCAATCATGAATGACCTCAACACTTCCTAGCCACGCCCTAGCAACCATTGTCGAGCACCTTAGCAACCAAAATCCAAAGAGGGATATCTTCCATTCTGAATGTCACAGAGGCATGGGAGTTGGTTTATATCATTCATACTGACAAGCAGCCTTTGGAGTTTCATGATTGGCAGCTGCCAAGCCACTCCCTAGCAACCAAACATAGTACCCTAGCAACCATTTTGTAACAGCTATATCTCAGCATCAGAACATTGTATCGCGATGGGGGTTGGTTTATATCATTCATACTGACAAGCAGCCTTTGGAGTTTCATGATTGGCAGCTGCCAAGCCACTCCCTAGCAACCAAACAGAGTACCCTAGCAACCATTTTGTAACAGCTATATCTCAGCATCAGAACATTGTATCGCGATGGGGGTTGGGTCTTTTGACTCATGTTAACACACAGGACTTTCAACATGC